CACACCCCCCCCCCCCCCCCCTCACTATACTTACCTTTCGTCAACAGGTCCTTCCCCTCCGCTGATACGGGTGTACTATCTGTACCCCATACTGCTGTCCAGGGCAGCCCTGCACTAAGGATTTAGAATTTTTTCCCTGCAAAATTGCACGCACTGGTCAGCATGGTCTCGCATCCAATCAGATTGTTCGGGTATTTTGACAGCCAGCGGGGCGGACTAGCAAGATACTGAAGCTTGGCCCAGCAGGAGATTCCTCCATCCACACAGTTTAGCGTAGATGGAGGAATCTGACCATAGAAAATCCGCAGATAATCTACGGTGTATGGCCAGTTTAATCCAGAAATGATGGGATCCATACGAAAAAAATTCTCCTCCATCCAGACCTGCTTCACCTCTCACCTTCTGCCATATCTGTGGCTCCGGATATTAAAAGGGAGGGCTCCTGAGGTGAAGGGGAGCTTGGGATGTGAAGGGGGGGGGGGCTCCTGATGTGATGGGAGAACCTCATCTTTTTGTGTGTATTTTTGTGGGGTCTCCCCTGAAAATTCATACCAGACCCCTATTTGGGATTAGGGTCTGCTATGGATTTTGGAGGGGCCACACTTTTTTACATTTTAGACCTCAAGATTTTGCTGTTTTAGGGTGCCACGAGTGAAAAAAGGAGAATCTGCCTTAGAATACAATCACTTCAGTGTAAGTACATTGGGATGCATTGTTAGGCCTTCCATGTCTCCCACTGGATATTCAGGAGACGGAAACTAGATGGTGGCACATCATAGCAGACATAACACAGACACTGCAGGGGTTGCGAAAGATTGGGAAACATTGCACTAATCCATTTCCACATCTGAAACTGTGAAAATATTATGTTTAATGTAAGAAATACCATTGCTGACCTGCTTAGAATAGAAGTTACGTGGCTGCTATGCTCACCCATAGGCTTCAGTACTTTCTGACCTGGAGCTGTATGAACTGCAGACCTGTTCTGAAAAGCCGGGATACCCATGACAGCTAAGCAACTATCATCTCCACAAATAGAGAAGCCAGCAATGGCAGCGTCCATATTCTCTCATTACAGGGTTACCCCAGGGAATATGCCGGGAAACATTTCCTCAGCTGTTCATCTGGAACATCAGTGTGTTGAAATGTGCAGCACAAGCAGCTGAGTTGGAGCTAATCTGCTTTAGGCAGATAATGATAGTCAGACATGGAGAGCTCATCCTGTATGGCAGCACTGCTGATCTCAGGATAATGCTGCATAAGACAGACACATGAAAGCACTGGGAGCTCATCACAATGTTCACAGTCATCTTCAGTTGGTTTAGATCCGTGGCTCTCAACCTGTGTAACCTCAGGACTCACATTTGTCCTCGGTCATTAAGTCGTGACCCAAGTCGCACTGCAATGGAATGCACGGCATTGCGGTACTGCACGTTTCCGATGTGGGCAATAGAACTGTGGGCGAGAGGTACATTTGGGGTGCCATTCAGATGAATGACAATGCAATGCACTTCTCACACCAAAATGTGTGGTAGGTGCGATTGCGAAGTACAGTGCGTTAATCGCACGGAACTGTGCGATTAACGCACTGTACTAGTGTGAAAGGGCCCTCAAAAACACACAACCACAGACACAATCTCACACACACACACACATTATATATATATATATATCTTTTTTTAAGATCCACCCACCCAGTCTCCCTACCTTACGAGAACTGGAGTGGATCCTTACCCTGGGGTCCGGTGTGGGCTGCCGTACTGTGATTGAGCTCCAGTCATACGTGCAGTGCTTGTACAGCTCCCTTACACACCCTGTAGAGGTGCAGAGAGCCAGTATGTTACATCACCCCGGCCCAGGCACATCTACAGGACAACCGAGGGAGCTGTAAGCAATGCACATATGGATGGAGCCCACCCTACCTCAAGCTGACACTCGGCATCGGGCAGCATATTTTGAATGGCTGCTTGGCGCAAGAACTGACAGTGCTGTGCTAGGGGCAGGCTGAGGAGCCTCTCACCTAGAAAAGTGGAAGGCACACGGGGACCCACTGAACACAGGGTCACAATCCACTTTTGGGTCTCGACCCACCAGTTGAGAACCAAGGGTGTAGAGCATTTTTGGACCTAGCATTAGTGTACACAAAGTTGTGCAGGTCATAGTAAGGTATTAGGCAAGTCCGAATTAATGTGAACATTTCCTACTGACTTTGCTCTTCCAAAGCTATAAGATGTTACTGCCTGATAGCTATGAAAGCCCAGTACAGGAGAAGCAGGATGTATCTTCCAGAGCTGGGAAATATGGATGTATACACCTCACAATGGTGATCCAATGCCACATCAAATCTGAAAGCTGATACTAGGACTAGAACACATATCTCTACCTAAATTCTACTTCATAATCATCATTAGCAACCTCGGCACAATACATCCCATATCTGCCTCTGAGAATCATGCCTGGGTGTGTGTCACAATCTTGCAATGCCTCATGGGACTTGTAGTTCCACACCAGCTGGAGTGCCGAGGTGGCCCACCCCTGCTTGAGTCCACAAGATAACCATGTGAAATGGAGTCACCCACCTTTAAATGCTTCGGTGGCGCCCGGAGCGTGGTTTTTATCTGGATGAAATTTTAGAGCTAGCTTCCTGTAGGATTTCTTCAAGTCGTCTTCCGTGGCTTCTCTGGTTACTCCCAAAATCTCATAGTAGTCCTTACATTGCTTTACCCTATTGAGGGAAAGTAAAGGCAGTCTGATATTGATTTCTGATCACATTAACTTCTACCAACCAGAAGAAAATGAAATAAATGCATTACCCATTACAAAAACAATGTAATTAGAATGAGCTGAAGCCGCTCTATGTAACACAGGGTTAGGGGACCTGAAAGAGATGGAGATCTACATGTAAAGATGTCTTTATTTGTAGTGCCGGGTCTCTCACTGTGAGTGGTGGGCAGAAACTAGCAGCAAGCCCGGAGCAGACAACACTAGATAATCTGCATCTGAATGCACATACAGTGTTGTCAGCAAGACATCAAAAGTTGCATTATCAACAAACAGGCAGCATCAACAGCAACTGACTGCCATTGACAATTGTATGAATATTCATGTTCCCCACCTGTTTGCATCGGAGCGGAGAGCTCGACAGCTGCAGCCAGGTAAGACATCCCCCGAAAATAAGACCTAGTGTCTTTCTTCATGGAAAAAAATAAATAAGACAGCGTCTTGTTTTCGCGGAAACACGGTAGTAGTAGATGTGCGCTTGTATGTCAAGATCAATGGTAATATATGCATAAAACAACTATATTGTATAGTTGCTAGGCATAGAGAACCATAAAATTATAGGAGTAAAATAAAGCAAAATAAAATAAAGAAACTGTCAATCTAAAACCAATTTCCAGGAGTATACAATATGGCAACATCCAGTGTAATGACGTGTCACATCTGGAAGGGACATATGATGGGCTTTTCAGATTTGTGTATATAGTAGCCAATCCTTCCATTTAGAATAGAATTGTGATTGTGCATTTAGTCGGAAAGCTATTAACCACTCGTGCTGGCAATTCAAGTGTACCCGTGCTATGGTTTCTTGTAGTGTAGGTGCATATAGCAGTTTCCACCTGGAGGCTATATATGTAGATATCGACTCCTATGCTCAATAAGGCCATTTGTGGGGAAGGAGAGACCAAAATGTCGGTAAATGAGGCTCAATAACGGAAAATCATGCCCAAATAGCTTTTGATACTTTTGCAAGTCCAGAAGTTCATTTAAAAAATGGGTAATTTGTTGTGTTTTGGGGCATTTAATTAAATTTGTCACTAAATTTTGGGGTTTAATAAGGAGTTGCGCTAATATTGCGCAACATAAAAATTTTCAACTACCACCATTTTATTCTATAGGGTCTTGGCATTCAGAAAATATATAATGTTGGGGGGTTTTACGTCATTTTCAGGCCTAAAATGTGGAATATAACATGGGTGCAAAAATTGAAAAAAGGGCCTCAGTCATGAAGGGGTTAAACCAAGTTACTTGTAAACCAAGGTATTACTGTATAATGTTGCCTACAGAGCCACACTCTCCAGCAGAGGGGGGAGTGCGTCAGGTAGATCTTAGAAAGGCGAAAGGGTAAAATACCACCTGAGCATGATTTTAAGAGCAATTTCCCAATGGGTCATGCACTTGGAGCTGGACACGTTTGCCTTGCAAGCCGAGGACCAAGTCGCCTCCGAAAACGTTTCTCCCAGGTCCTCCTCCCACTTAAGCATTGAAGGCAGCTTCACGAACCGCTTCTTCTCATGGAGAATAACGTAGAAGGAGGAGATCTGGCCCCTCGTTGCTGCCGAAAGGCATAACAGCTGCAAGTCAGATGTATTTTTAATTGTCTTCCCTTTAATACCGAATTATGGCCACTAGATGGAGCTGAGGAGCACAGGAAATGAGTATTACATTTCTATGCTCCTCAGCTCCACCTAGTGCCTGTAATGCAGTATTACATCCAAAAACACATTCAACCTAACAAGAACATTCTTTTGTGCTTCCATTTGCACAGAATGAACATTCACAACCTCACATATATGACTAAATCATCAGGGAAATGGAGTTAAACATTTTAGCATATTTGTATTTAACATATAACACTGTGTTGGATGAGGAGGACCTGGCCAGGTATCATGGTACGCTGAGTCACCTTTTTACTGCTTCCACCTGGTCTGGTGTGTAGCCCTTTCCAGTTTCTCCACCCGCTTCACCATTGGCAGCTGGGGCGGCTTCAGCAGCATTCTTTCGAAGTCGCGGGTTTGATGACTCTGTGCTTTCAGGCTGGCCATTAGCTTGGCTGGTATTAGTGAGGGAGTCGATGAGCTCTACAAGAGACAGTAAACAGCAATTATTTTTTTTCCCCCTGATCACTGGATGTTCTAAAGACTTGCATTGTGAGAAGCAGCAGTACAGCACAAGCACTGTGCTGCACTACAAATCAGGAAACACAGCATGCAAACCTAGATGTATACCAGAATTACAAAAATGTGTCACACAAGAAAGCTTTGAATTGGGGCCTCAGTCACATGACAGCTTTGGGCCTTACACCAACAGGAATGATGGTAAATCTACTACAAGTAGTTAGCTGTACAGCCGAGTTGAACTTCTTTAATGCAGCCGGGCCCAATACACAGTAATGAGAAGTCTTTTTGTTTACTTTGTATTTGATGCAGCAAAGGGTGACATCTCTCTCCGTTAGCAGCAACGAGGGTAGCTAGACCTCAACACAGAGCGCATTGGTCAGACATGTATTCTGCCATTTTATACTCTGAACAGAAACCTCCATGCTTCCCTGTGACACATGCAGGCTGATCCAGAGTATAAAATCGCTTATGTATTAACATTTTATATATATTTTTTCCTCTAAAGGCACAGCGCCCCCTCTCAGCTTTTGTATATTAACCTTCTTAGGATCCTTTAGAACTTTAGTACATTTAAAACTGTATTTGAAAACTACAACTGTTGTAGAAAATGAAGCTTTGTTAGAGAAGAAAAAAAAACAACCTGGCTCCTAACTTTTTTATTAGCTGGCTCCTAGATTCAAAGCAAATTTGTCCAGCCGGACGTATGGCCCCCATACAGTTATCAGAATACTTTTCACAGATCTTTTAAAGCACATTTCATGAAGAAGATTTTGGATTTTTTCACACAAAGCCACAAGTGAGCGCTCGTCAGAAGGACAACAGAAGTGAAGAGTGCTCTCTGCTGGCTGATCAATCTTTGGCTCCTCGCACAGCGCTGAGTGGAAACATGGACTTTGAGCTACAATTAGCTTACCACCCTCCAATATATGGCTTATAGAAGGGGCGAGGTTCTTCACAAGGACATCACACAATACCACTAATGAAATATCACCTGATCCAGCATCTGCAGCAATCAATCCTTTCTCCAGAATCATTATTCTTCTTCACTCAGGCGACAGCGTTTTTGTCTGTTTCTACATGTGTTTTATGCGCATAAATCAGATCGCACATTTTTGTGAGCAGATTGTAGCTCATTGAGGTGAATGAGCAAACTCACGTAGAACGCATGCAAACACTTGCGTTTTCAAGCATTTCCTATTAGGTCTATGGGGCAAAAACGAGCTGTAATATGCCAAAAAAAGCTCCTATACTTTTTCCAGCGACAGGCGTTTTGCTTATGTGACAAAATGCTCAGATGTGAATAGAGCCATAGAAATTATGGGGGTTGGGGGCATATTTTTGAGCGTTTTTTAGGGCAGAAAAAGCGCTTCAAAACGCTCAGCGTGAACCAGACCTTATACCCCTTATGGACTTTTTTTTTTTTTTACATTTCCGCTATGGGCTGGTTTACATGACGCTAACTTTGTCATTATTTAAGATAATACATACAATGAGGGGAATTTATCATAACTGGAGCGGACAGAATCTGGAGCAGTTGTCCAAAGTAGCCAATCAGCTTCTCACTTTAGTTTGTTCAGTTAAGCTTTGAAAATAAAAAGATAGAAGGTGATTAATTACTATAGGCAACTGCTCCAGTTTTAATAAATTGCCCCCCAATGTTTTTCTTGGGAAAATAAATAGGTTTTCTTTCGGCAATTAAAAAAAAAAAAATTTCAATGGAATCTATAGACAAAGACGTAAAAACCGAACAAATGTGTTCTGACCAGTGTTTTGTTAGTTTTAAAAAAAATTTTTAAAAAATAGTTTGACAATAAACTAAAAAGTATCCATATTCCTCTGCAATTCTGCCTTTTATAATGACACTAAAACAACTTTTACTCAATGACACTTCCAGATGGCAATTTTACATCAGAGCAGTTGGATTTTGACAGCCGCTTCTGTATAATACAAAGCAGTACCCGGCTGTCATTTTGACAGCTGCAATTTGCCTGTATTTGCTAGAATTGCCAGTACTGGAATAGATTTTTTTTAGAATTACTGTAAGCTGTTGAGACGTCTGTACAGAAAAACTGTGAGCTGCCATTGTTAACCTCGCCCTGTCCTGATGACCCAATGGATTTATTATCGAGTCATTAACTTGCAGACAGTGAGAAAGTCTGCAGATCAGGCTTTCTGACTTCACTGGCTTCATGTTTGATCCGTGTCAGAAGGTAACGCCTCCTAATACTACCAGGTATCTAGCCCAGTACAACCTCATTCACACGGCCATGGATCAATATTCTGTGTCTGAAGTCACAGCTCCTTGCATACAGCTGCAGCCTGTACAAGTCAATGACGGGCTGACAAAGGCCATGGCTATACACACACATCCATGCGTTTACATTCCTACAGTGACCCTGGACGCAGACAGTTTTACTCTACAGAAAATCAAGGCCCATTGCACACTGTACAGTCCTCTGTGGCCATCTGAATGAGGCCTAAGAGGGGGATAAACCAGAACACTGGATTAGTGGTTAGTACATCTTCCTTGCAGCACTGGGGGTCCCTGGTTCAAATCCCCGTCACTATCTGCAAGGAGTTTGCATGTTCTCCCTGTGCTTGTGCGAGTTTCCTCCCACACTCCAAAGACAAGCTGGAATGTTAATTGGCTCCAGTCTAAATCGGCCCTCATACGTATGCATGTGAGATAGGGACCTTAGATTGTAAGCTGCTTGAGGGCAATGACTGATGTGAATGTGCAACTATGTAGAGCACTGCACAAATTGTCAGCGCTATAAAAATACCTGTAATAAATAAATAACAGCCTACATATTTATCTTAGTAGTTTCCTTTAAAAACAATGCAAAAAAGATCGTTGTTATAATAATAAGTCACAATCTGTACTCCATGGAGGATCCTTTATAGGTTCTAAATACCACACATACTCCAATCCTATTATTTCCATAGATCACAGGGCATCATACATGCAGCGTATACAGATATTCCATGCAGACCCAGACCAGCTGAAAATATCTCCATTTTACCGTGAACCATCTAGGAAGTGAAATGATCATTTTATTATTATTATGCAGGATTTATATAGCGCCAACATATTGCATAGCGCTTTACAATATAAGGAAGACATTACAATCACAATACAATTCAAGACAGGATGGTAAGGAGGGCCCACCAAATAAACAGTAAGATAGTCAATAAACACACCAAGCCAAGACAAGACGGTAAGGAGGGCCCAGCCTGTGAGAGCGTAGGGACTCGGGCAGTAATTACTGATGCACATAATATCAGAGACTTTCCAGGGTGTTGGCAATATTTTTAGCTGACTCCAGAAATGATGGCAGGAACCCTTGTTGGCAATGAACATAACCTAGGCTTGCTGAGAATGATGAGCAGGGTAGATATCTGCCTGTTGTCTGTAGACCCACCACCACTTCTCCCCAAGAACCAAAGTATTACATGCAAACCCAACTACTGACTTTCTAAGCGTTGGGAAGAATAGGCCAGCCAGCTCGGAGACTTTCCAACACATGGGAAAAAATTGTATTTCACAATAAGAACTACTGATATCCAACATTTGAACCTTCACTGTATCGGATGAGACGGTGTGTTAGTACAACATTGGGCGTCTTTTCAGTTTCTCCTATTAAAGTCTATAGGGCAAAATAAAAGAAGCGTGATTTGCATTTTTCAAGCGACAATGCTCAGGTGAGAATGGGCACCACTGAGAATAACGGGATTCCGTATGTTGTGCTTTGGGAAACGTGACAAAACGCTCAGGTGTGAATGAGGGCATACAGGTATTTGTATGGGGGAGGGGGGGGTCATCTTACAAATACTTGTGTCCACTATAAATACATCCACCTTTCACTTTAGGACTAGGGAACCAGAATAAATGACATTTTTGTATTCAAAATCAGGATCAGCTTCATAAGTGATAGGTTTGTAGGTCAGAGAGACTTCATGCGTTTATTCTGCTGATTCAGGAAAAATGTTCACAATCCCTCACTTGTTGAACAAGCAGGTTAATTATTCATGCCATTCAGTCTGATAGGAATAGTAGTAAAAATGTAACTCGCATATAAACCATGAAAAGAAGTTCTGTTGCTGATAATGAGATAAGTTTGGATCATTGTCTATTATGCAAATGACGGAACACCATCCACAGCAGCTTTGATTTCTTTCTTCCTAATCATTTTATTAGAATTGTCTGCACAGTACAAAGATTTCTCTCCTTTCTTGGCAAGTTCTCCTAACAATTTTCGGGCTTGTGCACACACCCGTCAGAAAATACGGCAACTACGAGAGTTGGAAAGAGCCTGTGTAAAAAGTGCTCTGCACACCGTACACAATTGTGCGTTTACATGCGCTGAGTAGATAGAAATCTTCAAATGTCTTACGCTTCCCTGGAGCCTAGGCAGCTCTAAATATCCTGGCAAGCTCTACATGCATCCAAAGGCCATCTATACAGACAAACACTAAAACAGAGTGCACTGGATAATGCAGATAAAACCACTTTAAGGCCTGTTCACATTTTGCGTTTCAGTAGTGTGCGTTTGCATGTGTTTTTCCCGCGGTTGAATCAATGCGCTGCCGCACGGGCAGCAAAGTACCTAATGCAGCATGTTCAGCTCTGAGTGTGCCGCATTTTTCCCCTGCACGTTTGGGGTGCCATTAACAAGTAATGACACTGCGTTCACACAAGGAGAAGGTGTAAACCTGGGCTTAGTAAAAGAAAATGAAACTTGAACGTACAATGAAGTGAACCAATCAGGGCATAACACCAAGAACAATCACACAAAGTAATGCCAGGTAACACCAAGGGATGCGGAAACTCCCTGAGAAGCCGGCAATAGGTTCACTAAGTGGACACTGGGGGGACTAGGGCTGGACCTGAAGGAGAACTTTCTCCTTCAGGGCTTGGTCACACCATGTCTAGACCAGGACAGTTTGTTCCCCCACCAAAA